CAGAAATAAACCCTTGCACTTAAGGTTTATTGATTTTTTTTTTTTTAAGAATCTGAAATTTTTTTTTTTAGCGTATTATGGGGGTACAAGTGTTAAGGTTATATATATTGCCCATGGCCCCCCCCCAGGTTTATAGATTTTTGACAAGGCTCCAAGATAGTTTAAGGGGAAAAAATGGTCTTTTCAACAAATGGTACTGGGACAACTAGATATCTACATGTAAAATAATGAAATTGGACCCTTACCTAACATCCTATATAAAAGTTAACTCAGAATGCATCTAAGACCTAAATATAAGATATAAAACTGTAGTCCTTTTAGAAGAAAAGTGGGGAAAAACTTGATCATATTGGATTTGGCAGTGATTTCTGGGATGTGACACCCAGACATTTTCTGGGATGTGACACCCAGAAATTTTCTCTTATTGCACAGGCAATAAGAGAAAAATAGACAGATTGGACTTCATGAAAATTAAAAGCTGCAACCAAGGATCCTATCAATAGAGGGAAAAGACAACTTACAGAATAGGAGAAAATATTTGCAAATCATGTATCTGCTAAGGGATTAATATCCAAAATATATAGAGAACTCTTAAAACTCAACAAAAACCCCCAAATCATCCATTTGACTTGAATGACTTGAATAGATATTTTTGCAAAGAATATATGTGAATGACCATTAAGCACATGAAAAGATGCTCAACATCATTAATCATTATGGGAATACAAACAAAACCACAGTGAGAAACCTCTCACCAATATTACGATGGCTACTATCAAAAACCAAAAACTAATGAGTTCTTGAGGATATGGAGAAATTGGAACCCTTTGCACTATTGGTAGGAATATAAGTGGTGTAGCCACTGCTGAAACTGTATGCAGTTTTTCAAAAGATTTAAAATGGGCTGGGCATGGTGGTTCATGCCTGTAATCGCAGGGCTTTGGGAGGCTGTGGCAAGAGGATCGCTTGGGGCCAGGAGTTTGAGATCAGGCTGGGAAACATAGAGCACATCTCTACAAAAATTTTTTAAAAATTAGCTGGGCATACTGGAATGCGCCTGTAGTCCTAGTTCTTGGGAGGCTGAGGTGGGAGGATTGTTTGAGCCCAGGAGGTTACATAGTGAGCTATGATCATGCCATTGCACACCAGCCTGTGTGACAGAGCAAGACCTTGTCTCAGAAAAGAACAAAATCGAATTAGTGTACCATCCAGCAATTCCATTTTTGAGTATTTACCCCAGAGAATTGAAAGGAGAGAAGAGATATTTGTACACCTATGTTCATTGAAACATTATTCCTAACAGCTAAAACATGGAAACAACCCAAGTGCTTCCATGATAAAAGAATGGATTAGTGAAACATAGTGTATATTTATAATGGAATATCATTAAGCCTTAAAAAGGAAAGAAATTCTGACACATACTGCAAGATGGATGATGCCTGAGGCTATTATGTTAAGTGAACTAAGCCAATCATAAAAAGGTAAATAATGTATGATTTTACATACATGAATGAAGTAACTGTACAAGTCAAAAGCACAGAGACAGAAAGTAGAATGAGTGGTGGTTGCTGGAGGATTGGGGGAGAAGGATTAGGGAGTTATTTTTAATGGGTATAGAGTTATGGTTTTGCAAGATAAAAAGAGTTCTGGGGATAGATGGTGATGATGGTTGCACATCACTGTAAATGTACTTAATATCACTGAACTGTACATTTAAAAATGATTAAGATGGTAAATTTTATGTATTTTACTACAATAAAAATGTTAAAAAATGATTATTAAGGCATATTAAGGATTCCATTCAACATTCATTTTGTTCTTACTAGTTAATAGACTCTGCACCAGGTTCTGGGAATAAAGATGATTAAGACACAGTCATAGCTCTCAAGAAGCTCACAGACAAGTAAAAAAGACAACTTGGAAACTAATAATTATACTGTAGTGTGAGAAGTGGCATAAGAGAAGGAGAGAGAAATTAATTTTGTGAGAGTCAGGAGAAATTTCACAGAAGAGGTGATGAAGTGATGCCTGTGCTGAGTTTTATGATATCTAGTTTCCAATCCAACAAGAGATGAGGAAGAGCACTCCAAGGCTAGAGAGTAGCATATGAAAATATATAGCGTGCAAAAAGTTGATAAATCAGAGCCTGAAATCTGAGGGGACTGGGGCAGCGGATGAGGCTAGAATGGTCCATAGAGGTAGGTCTCGAAACAAGTTTGTTTTTTACATGACGGAGAGACATTGAAGAGGTTTAAACACAAAATTTGTGTTTTACAGAGAATTCTGTTTTTATTGTGAAGAATAGATTGGGGTAAGAATAAAATGAGGCAGATTAATAGTTTAGGTGATAATGAAGTCCTAAGTTACTTAGTAGTGGAGTTGGAGAAGACAGAATATATTTGAGTATAAATTGAGGAGTAAAAGCTGTAGAATTTGGTGATTGCACATAGGGGCTCATCAAGAGGAAGCAGACGAGTGCGACTTACAGATACTATTTTGTTGACCGTGTGGTCTGTGGTCCTGTCAGCTGGGATAGGGAAGACTGTCAGAAGTGTGGGTTTTAGTGGATTGAGAAGAGAGAAGGGGGCAGGAGGTTACGAAGAACCAAGATTGTTTTAGATGCAATTTGAGACCCCTTCATAAGTTCTTTGAGATAACCTTGTAAAGGTCAGCCTGTTCCTTAAAATTCTCACTTGATACAAGTAACAGAGACATACTAATGAGCTATGTTTTAGGTTTATTTGGAGTTCTTAAGATGGATTCAGAGAAAAGAAACAAAACGTGTAAGTTGAGGTGTAGGCGCAACTGCTATCATTTTCTAATTTAGAAGAGAAACTTGAAAATGAATCTAATTGTAATTGTAATTTTCTAATGTGTGTATTTTCCATAATCTTCATATTATTCTTATGAATTTCCTTTTGATTAACATATATGTCAGGGTTTTTAATTTTTTAGTGGTTGTCTTTATGTATATTATTGACAGAACCTGCATAAAAGTGTTTCAGTAGTGGTTTTCTAACAACCATAAGTATATGATGTACTTCATAAATAGTTCTTGTTTTTATTCCGTGAGTGTTAGTGGATTGATGCCTCCTATTTTAGTGATAGTTGAACCACAAGATATGGTTAAAAATTATAACAAAAAAATCCAGATTGGAGGTTAGGAAGATCTTTTTAATGCGAAGATTCTGAAATATTTATGTGTGTTACTAGAGAGATTAATTTTATATATACATGCAAATATATCTATTTTTGTTCTGTTTTTGTAAAACACGTGTTTTTCTGGAATGTTTACATATAATGCTGGTAAGAGGTACAAGAGTACCTAGTACTTTACAAAGTACTAGTACTTTACTAGTTTCTTTATTCTCAAGATTGATAGGTAACAAAAACTAATCCGATTCAGCTGAAAACATTAGTAAGGTAAAAATTTCCCTGCATTGTAGTTTCCTACCTTTTCGACAATGGTTGTCAAACTGTTGTAGATTTCTACAAATGATTTTACCTTTAATATAAGTTTGAAAAAATATTCAAAGGCCAAAAACTACTTTGAATTCTGTAACTGTTTTTTTTTTTTTTTTTTTTTGAGACAGAGTCTCGCTTTGTTATCCAGGCTAGAGTGAGTGCCGTGGCGTCAGCCTAGCTCACAGCAACCTCAAACTCCTGGGCTCAAGTGATCCTTCTGCCTCAGCCTCCCGAGTAGCTGGGACTACAGGCATGCGCCACCATGCCCGGCTAATTTTTTATATATATATCAGTTGGCCAATTAATTTCTTTCTATTTATAGTAGAGACTGGGTCTCGCTCTTGCTCAGGCTGGTTTTGAACTCCTGACCTTGAGCAATCCGCCCGCCTCGGCCTCCCAAGAGCTAGGATTACAGGCGTGAGCCACAGCGCCCGGCCTCTGTAACTGTTTTGAATGAACTATTTATTTTAAATGTATTTAGTCACAATATTTATCTGTGTTACTTCTTTTTTTTTTTTTTTTTTTTTGAGAAAGAGTCTTGCTCTGTTGCCTAGGCTAGAGTGCCATGGCGTCAGCCTAGCTCACAGCAACCTCAAACTCCTGGGCTCAAGCAATCCTCTTGCCTCAGCCTCCTGGGTAGCTGGGACTACAGGCACGAACCACTGTGCCTGGCGAATTTTTTCTATTTTTAGTTGTTTGGCTAATTTCTTTCTATTTATAGTAGAGATGGGTCTCACTCTTGCTCAGGCTGGTCTGGAACTCCTGAGCTCAAGCAATCCTTCCATCTCGGCCTCCCAGAGTGCTAGGATTACAGGTGTGAGCCACCTTGCCTGTCCTGAAGTAGTTTCTTAACTTTAAAAAAGTTTAAGCAATTGGATCTTTCCTGTTCTATCATCTTTTCAGAAATATGTCTATTATAGGAAGTGAGGCAAATCTATTCGATTCTTCTGAAATAGTTTTGGAATTTTTTTGTGGTTTATGCTTCATTTTTATCTTTTAATGGTATGACTTAATTTTTCTTCTGTTCTCAAATATATATAAAAGTATATGCTCATCACTTAGAGATAACCAATGTTAACATGTCGATATATTTCTTCTTAAAGGTAATTTAGATCACACTGGCAAGCTTTTTATAAAATCATGCAGCTAGCGGTAGTGTATTATGTCATTAAAAAGTCTGTAAAATTTTTTAAATGGCAAAAAAATTTATATAGTTGTATAATTTAACATTTTCCTAATATTGGCTTAGCATCATGACAAATAATTGAGGAGCACTTAAGGATTGATGATATAACTATTGGACTGATACATATGTATAATATAGTATATTGGTCTAGGTCTATGTTTAGAGTTAATCACTGTACTGGTCAGTTTTTAGTTATATTGTTGGCTCCGCCCTGTGTTTCCTTTTCCTGTGTTTCCTTTTCTCAAATTAATCTGGTGTATTATTATTTTTGGTGTATTAGTATGGTTTTAAGTTTTACTTTTCTTTGTAACATATTGACTAATTCAGATTTAAATGCTGTGATATTTAGGACAAAGATGGTGATAGAGCAGTTCACCATGCAGCTTTTGGAGATGAAGGTGCTGTTATAGAAGTACTACACCGAGGCAGTGCTGATTTGAATGCACGCAATAAGCGCCGACAGACACCACTTCATATTGCTGTCAATAAAGGTCATCTTCAAGTCGTGAAGACTTTATTGGACTTTGGCTGTCATCCCAGTCTCCAGGTAAAACCTTTAAAGAAATATTCTGCAGTTATTGCTAGGATCCTATTAAAGGGAAGCATTAGGTTCTGTGGTATGCATTCCTTTATCTGTCTGTCTGTCTGTCTGTCTGTCTGTCTGTCTGTCTGTCTGTCTGTCTATCTATCTATCTATCTATCTATCTATCTATCTATCTATCTATCTATCTATCTATCTATCTATGTATCTATCATTTTTTAGAGACAAGGTCTCACTCTGTCGCCCAGGTTGGAGTGAAGTGGCATGATCATAGCTCATTTCAGACTCGAATTTCTGGACTCAAATGATCCTTCTACTTCAGCCTCCTGAGTAGCTGGCACCATAAATGCACACCATCATGCCCAGCCAACTTTTTTTTTTTTTTAACACACAAATCTCTTTTATTGGGGGGGGGGAAATGGGCCTTTTGGGGGCAGGCCAGGGGCCCTCACTGCACAGCTTGTTCATTGGCGCTGCTTCCTATCCAGCCAATTTTTTAAAAAAGATTTTTTTTGTAGAGACAGGGTCTCACTATGTTGCCCAGGCTGGTCTCCAATTCCTGGCCTCAAGAGATCCTATTGCTTTGGCCTCTCATAGTGCTGGGATTGCAGGTGTGAGCTACTGTACCCAGCCTCTCAATTCTTTCCTGTACAAATGGTCATAGTAAATGATACCAAAGATATAGAATGTTATAAAATTGGCAGCTATTCCTTCTTTAAAAAGCCCTTTTTAAGAAAATGTCAATAGATTGGGTTTAGATTGAGGAGTGGGAGTGGGGACTATCTTGCAAAAATGTCAGCTTATGAATTGATTTAAATTTATTAATCATGACAGTGAACTTCAGCAGCTTCAAGAGGTAAAATGGGCTGTATTTCAAAATAATTACTTCATGAATATTTAAATTATTTTAATTAAGCTTAATTTATCTTAGAGTCTTAGAATGGTCATTAGTCTAGTTTTCAAAGATTTTCTGTTTTGTAATGTATATAGGATTTTAGAGTTGATTTACAGTAGGACCTAATTTTTGAAGCAAGATGGTCCAAGAAATGATTCTTCCCATCCACAGTTTTAGGAATCAGATGAATTACACCATGTATGTAAGGGAAATGTAGTGTGTGTCTATTATCTACTTAGTTTGGTTACTGAGTAACCTGCCTTTTATGTACCTGTCATGTTAAAATTTGGTGCGGGCTGGGTGCGGTGGCTCATGCCTGTAATCCAAGCACTCTGGGAGGCCCAGGCGGGCGGATCGCTCAAGGTCAGTAGTTTGAAACCAGCCTGAGCAAGAGCGAGACCCTGTCTCTACTAAAAATAGAAAGAAATTAGTTGGGCAACTAAACATATACAGAAAAAATTAGCCGGGCATGGTGGCACATGCCTGTAGTCCCAGCTACATGGGAGGCTGAGGCAGGATAGCTTGAGCCCAGGAGTTTTAGGTTGCTGTGAGCTAGGCTAATGCCATGGCACTTTAGCCCAGGCAACAGAGGGAGACTCTGTCTCAACAAAAACTTTTGTTATGAATACTTGATAATTTCATAGCAAAATAAAATAGTACATGAACATAATTTGCTAACTTTTGGGTTCCTTAACAGAATAGGCTTTAGATAGCATATTATTATTTTTATTTTCTAACATCCTATACTGTCTCCAGAAAATACCATTATTTTTAAATAAGACTGATCCCTAAAACACTTTGAATATGTAAAGCATATTTTGTTTAAATCAAAAACTCAATAATGAGTTTTTAAAAGGAGAGGGAATGTTAGAATCTTAACCTGCTTGTAGTTTAGATAATTCACAGCATCCAAGAATTGTTTGCTGGATTGAATAGATCTCAGAGAAGTAATAAAGAAGAACAGGAGTAGTGGGAATGGGGTCTTGAGGTGAACTGGAAGAATAGGAGATTTTTTTCAGCTAGATGGTTATTAGAAAGTAATGTTTCTGAAGTGCAGCCATTTGGGAACTGACGATGACTAGGATATGGCCTCATAATAAGAGGGGCAGGATTGAAGGATGAGGGAGGAATTGGAGGTAGTGTTAATCTGTTGAAGGAGAGGGAATTTATACTTGCTGACATTCTTTTGTCTGAAATGGGAGGCAAGGTCATCTGTTGAGTGGGTAAGTGGGATCAGGTAGCAGGGAAGGAAAGGGTAACTGAGAAGAGTAATAAAACTTTGGAATGGCTGTGGGGCCACTGTGGGGACCAGAAAGCAGAACAGACCAGTGATCTGTAGAAGGGTATTCCAATCATGTGAAGAGCCCCTCTCAAGTTGAAGATTGAATTTTTAGTTCCACCAGATATTGGAAGATAGAAAGTGGATGGTTTTGTTGAACTTGGGTTAGGAATATCTTAGGTAGGTGAATGTTCCAGGGATTAGCAAACATTTTCTGTAAAGGGCACAGATAATAGTGTAGGCTTGCATATAGTTTCTGTTACAGCTATTCAACTCTGTCATTGCAGAATGAAAGCAGCCATAGATATTATAGTAAATAAATGAATGGGTGTGGCCATGTTCAAATAAAACTTAATTTACAAAAACAGGTGGCAAGCTGTATTTGACAACTCTAATATGTGCCATAGGGTAGTCTGTATGTTACTTTACTGAGAATAGCATCTATGAAACTATGAAATGAATGAGGTCGAAATTATTCATGTATGCAGATGATTGATAATGAACAACTTATTCCTAAATCAGTTGATTAATGTAAATAGTAGTCAGCTTGAATAAAAGGTAGACTGAGACTGCTAAATTTTCATTTATAGTTGTTTTTACCTTGAGCTAAATGTCCACTTTCCTACTCTTTGAAAACACTTAGGTTAAGGGTTCTTACTTGTGACTGCACAGTATATTCAGCTGGAGAGTTTGAAAAATTACTAATGCTGGCTGTCACCCCCACAGATTTAGTGGGGTCACAGTGAACAGCCTGAGCCTCAGGTTTTTTAAGAGCTCCCCAGCAGATTCTAATGAGCAGGTTGAAAATCACTGACTTCTAATTCATTGTTATAGGGCCTGAGACAGGTGTAGGTTTGGTATGGAATTTCAGGGTACAACAGTTAATGGTAAGGATATGGTGTAGCGAGTGATTTTGAATTCAATAAATTTTGGAGACAGCTTTTCACCTCATTAATTTTTGTCATTAGTTGAATTATATTTGAGGCTACTTCTTTGATTTCCCTCCTTTCCCCTTCTTTTCCCTTCTCCTTCCCTCCCTTTCTTTCTTCCTTCTCTTCCTTTTCTTTGTCTCTCTGTTGCTCAGGTTGCAGTGCAATGGCATGAACATAGCTAATTGCAGCCTGATTTTCTTTTTCTTTATAAAGCTTCAGCATGTTTATTGTGTTTTCATCTATATTTGAGTATGACTTTATTTACTACATTGTGGCTAATGTTTCTTGCCTGCATTTTATATTTAACACACAGCATGTTCTTTTATTAATGTTTGTTGGATATGGCCTTTGTTTCTTTTTGTTTGTTCAGTAGTTCAGTATAAGTATTACTATTATATATGATGATTGATTGAAGAAGAACTAATGAAAGTCTCTTTAAACTTTAAAAAAAAAAAGGATTCTGAAGGTGATACCCCTCTTCATGATGCAATAAGTAAGAAACGTGATGATATCCTGGCAGTCCTTTTGGAAGCTGGAGCAGATGTTACCATCACAAACAATAATGGATTTAATGCTCTACATCATGCTGCATTAAGGGGAAATCCCAGGTAAAGATGTCACCCTTTACAATTTTAGGTGCAATTTAAAATATTTTCCTATATCTGGTTCTCTTTTTCTGATACTGATGGAGAAATAATTTTGGCTTATTTTAGTATTTTAAATCATTTAAAAAATCTGTGGGAAATTATACCTTCATTCAATAGATTAGTGTTGTATGATCAATTTTGTTGTGAAACCAATATAAGTATTATGAAATGATTATTTAAATATATATTAAATGTGGATATAAAATATCTGGAATACTGCCTTTATCTAAAATTTAATTAAAATGCATTCCCTTTTGAGATTTATGTTTCTTCAAAATAATTCTCAGTATGTCCTCTAACCCATGTTATTCGCATGATAATTACTTTTTTAAACTTGTGGCTAAATAAATATTAAGTCACATAATTCCTTATTAATAATATAATTAGTTATATAAACTTTTAGTGTAAATATCCCCCAACCATTGTTACAGGAATGGGTGTAATATTGAAAAACGTGTTTGCTGGTTAAAGTTTGTGAAGGACTGCTTTTAGAGAGTCACATTATTCATAAAGGATCTGCAGAGTCCCACAGAACAGGAAAATGCTTAGCTTTGCTTTTTGGAATAACTTTTCTTTGCATTTTAGAAAATTCTGCATTAGATGCCTTTTGTTTATAGTTAAATGAAACCTATATATCTTGACTATGGAAAATGTTCATTTTGATGTTTATTTTGATAATTTCCTCTATTCTGAACTCTTATTCTTGGTTCCTTATTGTATTTTTATATCCTATTTTTTTGGGCCAATTTTTAGCTTCTTAGTATCACCACTAGAGGGTGATCACAGAAAACACAAGAATTTAATTGTTACTTGCTTATTGGTACCCATAACAGTGGCTGTATAACACAGGCTGAAATGAAAGACTATATTTTAGATTATGTCTTGATTTTTTTCCCCCAAATTGCAAATATTCAAATTGCATTGCGAAGGAGACAGAATATGTTCCCTGCCCTTCAAATAGAAGATGATGATAGCACTTACCACATGCCAGGCCTCCGCTAAGTGTTTTATGTGCATTATGTCACTTAATGCTTTTCAACAGTAAGCTTTTTGAGGCAGGTGTCAACATCCTCATTTTATAGGTGAAAAATATGAGGGTTACAGAGATGAATTTACTTATTCAGGATCACGTAGCTGATTACTGAAGTAGCTGGAACTTGAGCAAGGTCTGTGGGACTTTAGACTCACAGCTCTCATACCACTTTATATTACTTTTTCTATATTATGATTTATATATATAAAGGCAAGAACAAAACACATTGGCAGTGAGTGATTTAACTAAGAATGATGTTTCAACACATTGTTCCCCATGTTACCTCATTGCTTAGGACTACCTTTGACTGTTGTCTCACTGATTCTCAGCTTTCAATTAGTTCTAAAATTCTATTTATTCTACCTATCTTTCCAACTCATTCCATTCTTTCTATTCTCATTGTTGCTGACCTAATTAAATACTCAACCACATTTACCTAGACTATTATAGTATCTTTTTAATTGTTCTCATTTCAGTCTTATCCCCTGATTTAATTTTCATACAATTACAAATTGTCATTGTAAAAGCATAGATCTAAAAATAGCTCTCCTCTCCTATTCCCAGACTTACATTTGTTTTCTGTTGTACATAGAATAAAATGTATACACCTCCTTTTGGCATTCAGACCCATATCTGGTGAGTCCTAAGCCTTTCAACTTTATCTCACACCAATTAAAATCGCTCTGTACACCTTACCCTCCAGCTACATTACACTCCTCTCCTTTCCTGAAATATGCTGTCCTCTTTCTTCTTCCAGTTTTTTGAGCATTTTCTTTGATTAGAATGCCCTACCCCTTTCTTCTTTATCTTACCTATCTTTCCCCCAGAGCCTCCCATTACCTCATTGTTGGAATTATTTTCTGTTTGCTCTGCACTTCCTTGTTCTGTATTCTCGTTTTATTGTGCTCACTATACTTTGCTTAGTGCTGTCTATTACTATGTACATTTCTCTGTTTCTTTCTCTTAAAATTGTGGGTGCTCATATTCATCTGTATATCTTCCACAATGCTCTGACTATAGTAGGCATTCAGTAAATTTTAGTTTTATTTTTTATTTTTTATTTTTGAACATTCAAAGTGTTGAAAGATAAATTTTAGTTTTAGTTTGACAGTGAGGACATTGTCAGATATCACAAGATATTATATGATTAATTACAGAATAAATTGTGTAGAGAAACTGTTAGGAGTTGAAATAACAATTAACTTCAGATTAGAATAGTTGAAAGATTTTACTGAGGGAATTTACCTTACAATATTAAGTCATAAAGGTTAATAAAACTGGAAATTGAAGTGTTTAGGAAACAAGAATCTTTTTTTTTTTTTTTTTTGAGACAGAGTCTCACTTTGTTGCCAGGCTAGAGTGAGTGCCGTGGCATCGAGCAACCTCAAACTCCTGGGCTCAAGTGATCCTCCTGCCTCAGCCTCCGAGTAGCTGGGACTACAGGCATGCACCACCATGCCTGGCTAATTTTTTCTATGTATATTAGTTGGCCAGTTAATTTCTTTTTTATTTATAGTAGAGATGAGGTCTTGCTCTTGCTCAGGCTGGTTTCGAACTCCTGACCTTGAGCAGTCCGCCCGCCTCAGCCTCCCAGAGTGCTAGGATTACAGGCATGAGCCACCACGCCCGGCCGAAATAAGAATCTTTTAAATATTCTGAACGGTTTCATTTTTATTGGGAGTAGCCATAGTATATTCAATAATAATCCTATACAAGGAGAGAACATTTACTTCTGTTTCTTCTATTTCTATTATAACTCTTGCATAAATCTTGAGGATCCCCTTGAAAATTTATAGCAGTGACTCCTCCCACCAGATAAGTAGTGTCAGGTGATATTTTTTAAAAGAAGGAAAAAATGCTTTTGCTCTTCACAAAAGTGGTGTTTCAGTTAAAGCTACATGACTTCTTTATTCCTACTTTAAGATATTTTAGGTAGTTGTGACTGTAGTTTGCCAGATGGAATGTGATTTTAATTGGACACTGAAGAATATCAGAAGATGATATAACCTATATATCAGTTATAATTACAAGTTGGGATGTTTTGAGTTCTGTTTTCATATTAAATTTCTTATTCTTTAAGATGATTTTTTTCTTTCTTGTACTGATCAAGTGATATCAAAAGACAGAAGGAACTATTTTTAGTGTACTTGGAATTAAAAAAATATAAGTAAAACTCTTTGGCCTTCAAACTTACTTTAGAAAACTAGATAGAACATATTATTTTCAGAACCTGATGAACTTAGTATTTTTGGATGAATTATCTAATATAATTAACAAATGTGCTAACATTTCCCACTTTCTTATATGAACTTTATAGTTTATATAACTTAAAGAATCTGTTATCTTGGATTGTAGCATTTCAATTTGTTCTTTCTGATCTTTGTTTTATCTTGCGATTACTTCTTTAGTATACTTGGCTGAACTGTTGACTTTCACATATAGTCCATTTTAATTGTAATTCATTGCATTTTAGTTAGTATAATTCTTAGCTAATTTGAGTTGTTTTCTTTTATTAGAATGTTATTAGAGAGACCTCATCTCTACAAAAAATTAAAAAATTAGTCAGGCATGGTGGTGTGCTATGATTCTAAAGTCACACAGACCTTGCTCAAGTTCCACCTACTTTAGTAATCAGCTACATGATCCTGAATAAGTAAATTCATCTCTGTAAGCCTCATATTCTTCATTTACACACACACACACACACACACACACACACACACACACACACACACACGGTATCCCAAAAGTTGACATAGATAGAGAAAATGGGAAATTGTAGCTAAGTATACCTTTATTTAAGAAATATTCATTATAAAACTTTATAGAAGTTTTTTTTTTTGTTGTTTTTTGTTTTTTTAATTTTTTGAGACAGAGTCTCGCTCTGTTGCCCAGGCTAGAGTGCCATGGCATCAGCCTAGCTCACAGCAACCTCAAACTCCTGGGCTCAAGTGATCCTTCTGCCTCAGCCTCCCCCGAGTGGCTGGGAATATAGGCATGTGCCACCGTGCCCGGCTGATTTTTTTCTATATATTTTAAGTTGGCCAATTAACTTCTTTCTATTTATAGTAGAGACAGGGTCTCTCTCCTGACCTTGAGTGATCCTCCTGCCTTGGCCTCCCAGAGTGCTAGGATTACAGGCGTGAGCCACCCCGCCTGGTCAAATTTTACAGAATTTTGTAGGAGGCTACAAAGGGTACTCTGGGTGCTCTGTCACCTAGATTGGAGTGCAGTGGTATGATCACAGTTCACTGTAGCCTCTAACTCCCAAGCTCAAGTGATCCTCCTGGCTTAGCCTTCCAAGTAGCTAGGACTACGGGTGCACACCACCATGATTGACTAATTTTTTAAATTTTTTGTAGAAATGAGTTCTCACTATGTTGCCCAGGCTGCGCTTGAACTCCTGGCCACAAGTAATTCCTCCTGTCTTGCCCTCCCAAAGTGCTGGAATTAACAGGCGTGAGCCACTGTGCCCAGCCATAGATTGTATTTATATATTTTTAGAATGAAGTATTAATGTCATTGTGAATATAATCTAATACCAACACAAATATTTACTTATTTCTATTATTATGTTTAAAAATATACAGAAGTTGCCAAAATTTGCATGTGTATATGTGTAGAGTTTAAGTACCTTTCTGTTCCCTGGTTTTGCATTTTTTGGCAGTGATGAGTTTTCAGCAATGAATCAGTAACATAATAGAGTTAATAATTACTAGATATGCTTTTCTAAAAGAAAAAAATCATTTTCCTGGTCTTCTAAATATGTCTAGATGTCTTATTTTTGAAGCATGTCCTTTAAAATATAGATTTCAAAGGTCTAGATTGGTGTAGATTCTAGATTTCAAAGCTGATCTTGATGTTTTCTCATAGTATGACGACAGTAAGTTAAATAAGACTTTAAGAGAAAAAGTTATAAATCCATTTA